TTAGATAATTTACCGAATGACCAAAACGATTTCGGATAACGAGTAGGTGTTCCAGAAATTATGAAAATAGCTGTAATACTATAATTCCGATTTAATTATCCGGACGATCATCCGGACCCAACCTGATACACATTTTCTGGGTGCTGGCCACCACTGTACGATTAATGGTTTTTTTTTTTGTTTTATACAATTTGTATATGTAGCATCTCAATAGACCAAACCAAAAATCTATAAATTTTTATTTTTGTATTGTTGCGAACCATTTCAATTAATAAATACAACTCCCTTGAATCCTTGTTCCACGTATTTGAAATTGTACTAGAACAAGTAATAAGTAAAAAACGGAAAATACATCAATGAAATGTTTCAATGCCAATTTATGAAGATATGTATCCATTCCTCCAAATCCATAATTTGCAACTATCAATCACGACCGTCAAAATTACCCCTTGGCAAAAAAGATGCTTATGATGTTCTATGCTTATTGTGTAATCCTTATGTTTATTTACAAAATGAAACACTAATACTCTTCTTGTCAGCAAAGGCTGCATCTGGCTTTAGAATAACTGAAGCGCGTTCCGGTAGGCGCACTATACTGTATCGTTCTATTCGGTATGTATGAGCTATGTTCATCGTTCGATTGTGATGACCTACATGTGGATAATATTAAAAAAAAAAAACGGTTAAAATATTATTAAAATTAATTGAATACATTATTCTGACTGATATTACTGAAAGTTCATTGAATTCACTAAGATTTACGAAATTGTTTATAAAAGTGTGGTTGGAATCAGTCAGGTTATAGCTAATGGCTGACTTCCGTAATCCACCATTATGATATAGAATCTTTCATAATAACCATCATAAAACGCGAAACAGTTGATAATAATAGAATTCCTAAATTTTAACAAATTTCAGAATTGAGTCATTACACTTACATTTGGCTAGCTTCAACATATTTCGTTTCATCATCCATTTCATCATCCATTTCATCATCATAAGTTTCAAAAGTTGGAGTATCAGGAGAAATGGTATCAAGACAATCAGATGTTTCGGAAGTAACGTTATTGGTTAAAGTATAATCATTAATTTCAATCTCAGGTATATTTGATGTTGTTGGTAATGAAGTGTCAATTTTGATTTCAGGGTTTGAAATTTCGGTCTTGCGTTTTTTAGGTAATTCATCTAATGGATGATCAAAAGGTATTGATCGTTTTCTGGTTTGTCGCGTCGAATGTGAAAAGTCGGATAGCTCAGATTGACTCATCGACTCATCAGAATTAGTTTCTTCGGGTTTAAGAGACAGCCAAAAGTCAGTAGTCAGGGTCGATTCATCTTCGCCAGTCATTGTTCGTCTTTTTTGTAACACATTGGCAGTTTTACAAGGCATGATTTCTGTGTGATCTGGCCACATTGGATAAAATCGACCAGCAACTTCGGACAAGTCTATGTTATACTCTTCATCATCCTCATTTACCGGAAACCACTGATATTTATTATTTTCTAATAAATTTCCTCGATTATACATATCACCTGTTAAATAGATTCCTTTTTTTGGATGTTTATAGATACCAGTAATTTGTAAATATGATCTCTGGTTGGTCTTTTTACCATTTGATGATGAGCCTTTTCCTCTTCGAGCATTCTTGTCGGGGATCAATCGTACTATATCATCTTCACATAAAATTTCAGCACCAAAATAGATTGCTCTAAAATGAGTATACTTCTCCATTTCAGCGAAACGTTTCGATTTTGCCTCATTTGGACCTTGAACATTTACAGGACGATGATAATCATATTGAAGCACCGGTGTATATGTGGTTTCTATATCACGTGCTTTACGCACAGCTTTAATATAAGCGGCAGCAATTTGTTCTGGCTCCGGATTGTCTACATCTATGTCTGAGGATATTCTGGAGGCTTTTCGTGTACCCACAATTTCAGGTCTATAAAGAAGCCAAGGTTGAATCGAATTTATATCAACTTCCTTTTGGCCACGTAATATCATTAAATTTATTGTGTAAAAATCATTTTCTGAATTTTTACTTCCTAAGGGTGATATTATCTTAGTAATAATTGATGGCCAATATCTGATTGGAGTTTCATTAATCTCGTTACATTTTGCGAGCATATTCTCATCTAATATCTTTTTTGCATCTAACCACACTATTTCACCTTCTCTAAATATCGGAGTACTAGATATAGGACACTTCTTTTTTTCATACATTTCTTTATCTACATAATCTGAATCATCAGTATCTTCCACTGGTGTTGCGATTTTTTGATCATTTTTTTTTACAGATCTCATAACTTTTGGAGTTTTTGCTTCATTACAATATTTACATTCACATGGCGTAGACCTATCCGATGCAAGCCAATATAGGTGTGGTAAAAACTCGTTTGGAGATCGGAATTTATGATTACCTGTAGTCACGATTCCATTGGTTATATATACATATTGCTGGAACGAAGTTAAATCACAATGACATAATAAATTTTAATACCAATGAGATATAAATCCGATCTGCCAGTTCCTTTTACAGTTCTTTTTCGGTGCTTGTAAAGGCGATATCCAGGGGGAAAATCTTTTAAAATGGCGTTTTCTATTTTATTATTATTATTATTACCGTATTTGCGAAATAATGCCCGGGGCGTTATTTGGAGGCATGCAATTTAAAGAGAACCAATAATTTAGCCGAATGCGATACCATAGTCTTTTTAAAATATCTTCGGCTTAACGAATTATTAGGTCTCTTTAAATTGCCGACCCCGAAAAACAATTATTTCGCGCAAATACGGATAATTATTATTATAATGATTAATCTAAGTGCTAAATGCCTAGAACGAAAATATTTAAAAGAAAATGTATAGTAAAATAATTTACGTGAATCCGATATAATCGTTGGATTATCTTTCTCTAATAACTCTATTAAACCTTCTCCAAGTTTCTTACGCCACGACAGAGTCTTTGAATCGTTAACTGATAGTAACTCATAATACCTGGGGTCGGGGTCGGGTAAATCCCCGTCTGGAAATGTAGAAATTTCATCTCCGATAGTAATCGAAATTCCTTTCTTCGTGATTTTGTAATTCATTATCCAAACGCTCTAACACTGGAAAACCCTAAAAAAACTATGTTTATACACACCATCACATGATATCTGTCCAATTAAATTGTGTTTATAAAAAGCGTGATACTGATCATGTATCGATCGATTAGTTGACTAACTTATTTAATTATGAATAAATTTTGCTATAGGTATAGGTCTGATCCGTTGATGAATATTCGGATGTCCGAATATATGGTTCGAATGATTATTTGTCGATTTAATAAGTTTTTGATTTCGGCAGTGATAAACTTTTGATTTGTGTAATTAGTAATATAACGATAACTATATATATTATATATATATCGATATTTTTTGCCTAAACGTATGTCCAGTATGCTTGGTTATACTTGGTGTGTTGTTCTTGCCAACCAACAGACCTTAACAAAAAATATCATTACAGCGCATTGGCAGATATTTGGTCACCAAATCTAAAATAATAGTCACCAAATTTATTATTGATTGATCAGAATTAAACCCCGAAATTTTTTTTTGCTCCCCAGACTTACGGCAGCCTTATGTCCAACCCATCTTCCCACTATTCAATCCATCTATTCTTTATAGTGACGCACTTCATTAGACAGATCTACAAAAAAAACAAATGAACATTAATAATACTGATAGTATTTTATGTTCTTTTTGTGACAATAAGAAATTTAAAAGTTATCGTGGCCTCAAAATACACAATCAAAGAGTACATTGCAGTAAGAATGTTGTAAGTGTCTCTTCAGACAAACCTTTTTCATGTCCGTTTTGTCCAAATGCAACATTCAAAAAAAAAAAAAAAAGGATTGAGTCGTTATAAAACTTTTAAACACTTTAATAATAATATACTTTCTAAAAGTTTTCCTATTTTTTCTGTGTTTATATTGCTGAATCTAAGAATGTATTAGTTTATTTTATACAATCATGTTTTAAACTTCATGTGAACCATACTAGCTTACAACAGTTTTAGCATCTTTTAGTGAATCAGAGTTGTTGCAATCTTTTAAAATATGTTTGTAGTTATAATGCATATAATACATTTACAAATATTTTTAATCAAGAAAATTGGAGATATAAAATTTATGAATGTAAACAAAGATTGAAGCCATGCTAATATCTAAAACATTAAATAATTTACAATTAAATTTAGAACAACTTGAAATAATTATAATTTAAAAGAAATTTGCAATTAATGATAAAAATAAAAATAGAACTGAGATGAGTTAGATTACTTTAAAATTTCTTATAAGACAATTTATTAGTATTAATTATTAATGATATAAATTATAAAAAAAGCAATTAAAAAAATGTATATAAGGTGTAATAACTTAGTAAAGTAAATAAATTGTTATCTTTCTAAGTAGTAGATTAGAAATTCAAAACCTACTAATAATAAAAATTTGAATAACCATCTGTATTATAACAACTGTTTCTGATAATTAGGTTAAGATATCTGTAATTATAATTGTATCAGCATGGTTAGTAGATTATAAAATATTTGTATAATTAGTTATATAAAGAAATATAAACTAGCATTAAACAATACAAATCTAAAATAAGTCTTTATAGTTATATAAATTTATAAAAACTAAAAAACAAAAGTTAATTTGAAAAAACTTGAATAGAAAGATAAAACAGACTTTTAACAATATTATTATATAAGTTATATCTAAGAGGTATGGTGACTTAGTGAAATAAATAAGTTATCAACCTTCCAAGTGGTAGGTTAGGAGTTCAAAACCTATTGATGGTGAAAATTTGAAAAACCACCTATGTTACATCGGTGTATATGGGCATCTGTGCAATGCTAGAGTTACACAGAGAAAT